CTTTTCCTTCTCTTCCTCTGCGTCCTGCGTGGCCGCGACCACTGCGGCGGTGTCTTCTCCACAACTTTCCGAGAAAGTTCAGAAACTCGGCTCCAGAGCGGCCGAGTCGCCCGCGGCAGCCACCTCGGGGAGCTGCCCGGGAGCTCCGAGGGCGCGCGCGACCGCCGGGGCTTCGAGGGCGCTGCACCTGCCAGGTCCGCCGCCGCCGCTGCCGCCTGGTGCCAGGCTGTGGGCAGACCCAGGCGGCGGCGGCAGCGGCGGCGGCGTCGGGGTCACCTCCTGCCGCCTGCGTCTTCGTCTGGGTCCCCTGCGCCGCCACCGCCTCCCGCACGTGCGCGGTGGTCCCTGGAGCGCAGGCTCCGTTCTTCCTCAACAATTTTTGTAACTTTCCCCCTCTGTCTTCCCTTCTCCCCTTCTCCTCACCCTTACTTTATGAATAAGGAAAACAAAAAGTGTCCAAAGTGTTCACCGATTGCCACCTCCCGATTATCCTTCCTTCCCTCCTCCGCCCCACTTTTTTGTTTTTTCAAAGCGGCGACAACATTGTTTAGTGTTTATTTTGTTTTACGATCGATAGCTTCCTTTGCTCGGTCGCGGCGGCTGCTGAGCGGCGAAGTGGCGCGGACCTCATGTAGAAATGACAACAATGGAAGGGGCCAGCGGGTCGAGTTTTGGAATAGACACGATTTTGTCCAGTGCCAGTTCGGGCAGCCCCGGCATGATGAATGGAGATTTCCGCCCGCTCGGCGAGGCCAGGACCGCGGATTTTAGGAGTCAGGCCACTCCGTCCCCCTGTTCGGAGATTGATACCGTAGGAACGGCGCCTTCTTCTCCCATCTCCGTCACCATGGAGCCCCCGGAGCCGCATCTGGTAGCAGAAGGGCCCCAGCATCACCACCACCTCCACCACAGCCAGCAGCCGCCGCCGCCAGCCGCGGCCCCCACGCAAAGTTTGCAGCCTTCACCCCAACAGCAGCCGCCGCCGCCGCCGCAGCAGCAGCCACCGGCCCAGCAGCTGGGCCCGGCCGCCTCGGCCCCCAGGACTTCCACCTCTTCTTTTTTAATCAAGGACATCTTGGGCGACAGCAAACCTCTGGCGGCGTGTGCGCCCTACAGCACCAGCGTCTCCTCTCCCCACCACACCCCGAAGCAGGAGAGCAATGCGGCGCACGAGAGCTTCAGGCCAAAGCTGGAGCAGGAGGACAGCAAAACCAAACTCGACAAGCGGGAAGATTCCCAGAGCGACATCAAATGCCACGGTGAGTCGCGCCGCCTCGGCTGGCTGGCTGAGCCGTGTAGCTTCTGGTCCTCTGGTTCTCGGTCTCCCCTTCGGACCCCCGCGAGTCTCCGATGCGGGGTTACTCCGGGAGCTTCTGGGGCGATCGCGCCCGGGTCAAAAACTGCTAGCGGGAGGGAGGCCTGGGCGCGCGACGGGAGGACTCGTCCGAAGTTCGGTTTATTGTTACATTGCCACTTCTCAATCTCCCCGCAGTCCCACTCCTTTCTTTGTTTTACTTAATTTCAATGTATTAGGAATAGGGCGGAGGCGGAGGGGATCTGGCGGGCATACTTTCGTTGATAAAAGGGAAGTACTTGAGATTTTTCTAGCTGAGACCTTGGGGGTGGGAATGGGGGGAGGTGGGAGAGAGGAACGCGCTTAGCTAGCGTGGTGTTTAGGGGTGTGTGCAGAAAGAGTTTATTCTTTAATGTAAATTATTTCGTTCTTTCCCCCCTCCCAGCACACCATATTTTCTAAACACCGTCACAGGAATCATCAGATTTAATGAGGGAAAATTTTCCCAGTTGAGTAACAAAGCAACTTTTTAAAATTAGATTGTGATTGATATAGGGAAGCCGATATGGTAAAAATTTATAGTTTTTCAGTTTTTAAAATACCCTTCTGACTCCATGGCCCCAACTGAATCTTTGTATTTTAGTAAGATTTTCGTCTCCCTGCAAGTGATTGGGAAATGGCGCTTATGAAAATAAAATTGGATGGAATTTGGATTTATTTATTTTTGTAAAATCAGAAGATGGCAATTGAAACAGTCCTTCAACTCCCTTTTTCCATTTTCTACTCATACAATTTTATAAGGAAGTGTTCTGGTCTTTGCATGACAAAAGAGTTTTAATGTGCCAGGAGAGTTATTTTTTTCCCTTACTAATAAGTTTATTATTATTATTATTAACCTTTGCCATCTCTGGGAAAGATGTGTGCTGACTATCTGGAAGGTAGGATACTGGCTCCTCGGTTTACTATTATCACATTAGCATAATAGTGCCCAAAACAGATGTACAGTCTGGTCTGGCGATTTTTTGTGCACCAACCTCCCCAGTGGGTCAATTAGAGAGATTATTGTTCTTCCTGCAGGGAAGATCAAGGAGCGCAGCAAAAACGGGTACAAACAGAGAGGGGCTGACATATCGATTTCCCAGCATTTCAGTAAAAAACCAAAGTTGACAAATAGAATCCGGAAATCTCTGGGCTGTCACCTGGATGGGCTCAGTGATTTTGAGCTCTGCTTGGTGTCTGGGTGACATATTCTCTCTGAAGCTTTACAAGACTCAATGCAAGCAACTGCAGAGAACTTGATTCCAACATTTGCCAAGTGCATCTGAAAAAGGAAAACAAGTGCCTGTAACTTTCAATAAACAGAAAAAGTGAAATGAAAAAGGTGTCCCTTCCTCAAAACAAAACAAAACAGAGTGGAAAGATCTTTTGAAAACTTCCAAATCAGGCAAAAATGAGGTCATAGTGAAAACGGTTAAGGAATGGGACAGCGCCCCCCCCCCCAGTGAAGGAAACAATAACGAAAGGACCCTACTATATTGTAAAATATTGTTTTTTCTTTTTAACTTCCAAAGATGGGAAGATCAGACAACCTTTTAGAACCCTTTTAGGAGCGCCGCACAAAGTTCCAAACTCCTTGGCCTTGGTCTTCTTTCTTCATACTGGCTAGGGTCCAAGTATGTGTGTGATGAGGGTGGCAGAGTATAGTCCCCCGAGACCAGCAGCTGAGTTGGGGATGTGGAAGTGTGTGCCAGGAGGGCATTTCCCCTTTCCTATTCCACAGTACCTTACGGCTGTGGGTTTCTACCATAGGAACAAAGGAGGAAGGAGACCGGGAGATTACAAGTAGCCGGGAGAGTCCCCCTGTGAGAGCCAAAAAGCCTCGAAAAGCCAGGACAGCTTTCTCTGACCATCAACTCAATCAACTGGAGCGTAGCTTTGAGCGGCAGAAGTACCTGAGTGTGCAGGACCGCATGGACCTGGCAGCTGCACTCAACCTCACAGACACCCAAGTCAAGACCTGGTACCAGAACCGCAGGTAAGGGAGGCTGTGGCAGGGAGCAAAGGCATCTGGCCATCTAGGTCATGACCATCGTGCCAATCTTCTCCCCTCCTGGCCCTGGGAGACCCCAGGAACTCAGATAGAGGCCCCAGAGTGGGCCCTGGGGGTTGGGGGGGGG